ATAAATTAGCTATGGAACTACGCATCGTGATGATTAAAAGTGTTTCAAATGATGATTCTCAAACTTGAACGTGCACAAGAATTGTGAGGGAAGCCTGTTAAAATGTAGATTCCTAAATGTCATTCCCAAAGAGCCTTATGTTTCAAATCATTTCCCATTATTATTATTAGGAGGAGCAGCAGTGAACCACCTTTAGGGAAGATGAGCCACACCAGGGCGTTGTGACTGCAGTGACCATCTTGTTGAGAAAGGACTTGACATAAGGTGAAGTAGCTCTGTCCTTCCCACTCCCCGCCACGGCCACACACCTTGCTTTCTTCTTTCCTTCAGTAAACACTTATTGTGTGCCCACTAAGTGCCACATTGTGTTCTAGGGCCTGGAGTTAAACTGGTCAACAAGACAAACAAATACTTTGCTATGACAGCGCTTAGATTCTACCTTGGGGGAGGGCAGACAATAGACAAGTAAACTTTAAGATTATTTCACATATTGTTAAAGATTATAAGGAACACAAAACAGGCTGATATGATAGAGAATGACTGTTGAGGAGAGGACTATTTAAAGCGTGTGGTCCACAAGAAGATGACGTGATCTGAGGAAAGAATAACCAGAAGGAATCAACCATGCAAAAGATCTTGGGCAAGAGCTTTCTAGGCAGAGGGAAGAGCAAGTACAAAGGTCCTGAGGCAGAATGAGTGATCAAGGATCAGCAAGGAGGCCAGAATGGCTGGAACCTGAGGGAGAGGCAGGTCAGACTCATCTACCAGGTGCAGTCTGGGCTTTGGCACGGAGGTCTCTTGGGATTACTCCTGTGGGAAACTGAAGAAATACTCTTGGCTCTCAGAATTAAGGAAAGATAAATAGTTAATAAATGTTATGTGAATACTTCTCCTGTTAAAGGCAACCATGTTATTGCAGCTCCTCACCCATAAAAAGGAGTTCATTTCATGATTCCTTTTGGTTGATGCTTTGTGATAACAGGGTGTCATCATCATTGGCAGATCACATCTTGTGATACTTAGCACTGAAAATCAGTGCACTTGGAACTTCTTTGAGACCCAAATTATTTATCATTCGTGTGACGCATCAAATATTATAAAATGAGGTCTAATAAATGGTGTAAACTTCTATTTGGGAATTTATATGCTTCTCCAAAGGAAGAAAACTTACGTTATAATTTCAAAGTAAGTTATATGGCATATGCCCTTTTTTCTGGTTTTGAATTATTTTTCAACTCTTGCATTAACTCCAACTGGATATCTACCAATTAATAGTAACAGTACTATTACCTCTAAGCAGTTTTATTTTGTCTGAATGACTGAGTACTTATGGAAGGAAAGAACCAAGGACAAGCATGTTACTAGTATGTGTAAAATCCATTCCTAAAGCCTACTAGTGAAGCGAGGAGATGGCAGCTCAGCCTCAGACCCCACTGATCAGGGCTCTTTCATAAGCCATCTCAGAAAAGGGCAGCCCAGGTGACAAGTGGGCTTTCTGTGATAAGGGCTCCTGTCCACTGAAAATGGGAATCGGCTCAGTTTCATTTCACAGGGTCCACCAGATGGCAAATGACTTTATCTACACGGACCAGATCCAGACTGGAAAGAGAATGGTGCTTCCATGCCCCCCTTCTGCTCTGCTAGGAGACTTGGAGCTTTCCTCTGAGGGTTCCTTGATTTAGTGTGGGTTTCAGTTTGGTTATAGATTATGCTGCAGTTCTAAATGCAGAAGGTTTCCCACAGCCATGAAAATCAGCTTCTTTCCATGTGTCTGGCCGATCTGGTTAGAAATCAATGACTTCCAAAAACAGGGACCAGGAAAGTAATGGCAAGATACAGACACAGCAGGTGTGGTGACACTTGTGTAACAAGATGGAAATGAATCGGCCAAACATTTGTGGGAAAAGGTCTGGGGAAAGGGACTGGGAATGAAGAGAAAGAATCCATGGAACAGAAAATGAAATGCCTTCATTATCACAAGAAACTCCAAGTAGCCTTCACTTAGTTATACTGGAATTACAATTTCAGCTCACATCGTTTGTGAAAGGAAGTAGGGAATCTGACCATGGAAAGTGATATTTTAAGCTTCAACACATATTGCTCATCACTGCCTTGACTTGCAGCATGTCTTTCAACAAAAGCACATGGTGATTTAATCTCAACAGTAATTCAGTCTGCAGCCATATGAGACAAGAGTATTGTTGCAGACAGGCTGTAATTTGTGAAATTCAGGTGCTGGGGATTAGGACCACCTGTTGAATTTAATCTTGGAGTTATAATGTTAATGCCATCATGTAACTGAACATAAACACTACATATTTATCAGACTTTGAGACCTCCAGCCATGGAGATGTGAACATTTTCCTAAACGGTATCAGTAACTCTCTCCAGATTCTGTAAATCAATGGCAAATAAAAAGTCTGCTGGAATTCTGATTCAATATGCAGCAGCGTATGGCTTGGTGGTCATCACATTCAGCACATCCTATAATTTTTCTAAGGCCTGATGTGAGAGTGAAAAAAACGAAGCAATCAGAGTATCATCTGGCAACATAATAAGAATAGAAAAGCTTTCATTTCTTACCCTCCCCTGTGTTAACTGGAAAAAAAATTCCTAGTAATGTTCTAACAAATGATTTCCACCTCCGCTTAAGCGAGACGACAGGAAGATCCCAGACAAACCTAATTAAACAGCAACTTTTGAAGAAGACAAACATTTCACACAGGCACCTTCAGGTGGCCGTCAGAAATGGAACTCTGCCCAGCTAAATAGTAGGAATAAAGATACTGTGAGCAGAAGTTTACATTCGGTTCATGGGGACAGTTGGAATAATGCCTAGAGAGGAGGCATAGATTTTAAGATCTGCATTTGGTCCTTTGCTTGGGCTGGGTAAACTCTGTTGAACCCTTTGGGTATGGAATTTTGTGAGATGTTGGTTTTCTATGAAAGAGTTTCATTAGTATTAATTATTTGCAAAGATCTTCCTTTATAGTCCTCTGCTAAGAATTCCAAGGACATTCACACATATTTCTCATTCACATAACACTTCAGTTTATAAAACCCTTTTACTACAGATTATCTCAATTTCTCATAAGGAGTTTCAACACTCCTTCCAAAAAAGGAGCTGATCTTCATTTTAATGAAATGAGGCTCTGATACACTGAAAATGGAATCCAATACATTTGTGTGAATAAACAGTTTTGAAAACAAACATGAGGACATCATTTCTCCTTAGGCTGTCAATATTCTTAGCCCGTGTCTGTTCAGCAGGAGAACACAGGAGGGGAATTATTAGGAATATCTTCCCAGAGGCAGATCAAAACTTGCAGCAAATTTACCTTTTGACACCCCTATTAATCAAAGCTTCACAAGTACTAGATAGCCATTTCTATTACACAGTGGCCATGAAAATCCACTGAGCTCAATAGATTCATCATATACCAGTTACACCTAAACACTACATCCATCCCTAGTCAGAAGCTGATGCCTCAACTTTTCCAGGACTCCAGCCCTTATCGGCTGCTTGCACATGCAGATACAAAGTATGTAATCAATCAACAACCTAGAAAACCCAAGCTGTAATTGTAACAGCGATGGCCCTCTCTATTTTTGATTTTAAGAGTCGGTAGACTTAAGAGCCCCCTGCCCATCACTTCATAATGAAATCTCTCCCTCTTTTCTGTTTCCCTGAATTCTTCCCAGTGTAAGTTCTATCTTTTCAAAGAAACTTTCCTTGATCCTCCCAGAGCAGTGATCTTTCTCATCTCTGCACCCCAAGAATACTGTTTATACGTAGCACTTCCTATACATAGATCTATCGGTCTATCGGTCTATCTATCTATCTATCTATCTATCATCTATCCGTTCATTCACATTTCATAGGACGTTATTTTTTTCCCCACAGGCATTCAAAGATCCCTAAAGCCTCCGTCCTGCCTTAGATTCTTCTGTACCCTCCAAAGTCCTTAGCATTATGCACTGCACAAGTGAGTGGATATATTTTGATTGCCACTTAAAAAAAAGTTCGACTTTTTCTAACACAGTAAAAGCAATCTTTTCACACAAAAGGAACACCTGCTAAATATTACTTTGGTTCACAGCTATAATCTGGTAACGTAAAACGCAGAATAGTTGAGTGGTTTCAAGAAATCCTCCACCTTTATAGAGCAGATACAGAGTGGGATTGTGTTTTAATAAAAATATATTAGCAGCTTCAAATAATAGGGAATACATTTAAACTGTATTAAAATATCTTTTCAGAAATCGGGAAACTTGATTAGGATTTTCCCAGAGGCTTCACACACTGAAACCAGAGATTTATTATTCCAGGGAAAGGAGGCTCAATTTAAAAAAATTCACCTTATTAATTATTAGCCAAGCCATGCGGCGGCTTCCTGGAAGGCAGGGGAAAACAGGCCCTCAACGAGGAGTTTCAAGCCACTGGAAGCTGAGTTTGTCCCTCAAGCCTTCCGCGCCTGCCTGGGCATCCCTCTCCAGGGCTGTGCTAATTCTGCCCCGAGCAATCCGAAGAAGAGATCAGAAGGGACTCTGAGCCTGAGCGGTGGCCGCGGACTGGTTGCTGCTCACGCTCCGGTTCGCTGCGGGAGGAACGCTCGGGCTGGTACCCGCGCCATGCCCGGTCTCCTCCCATCAGGGCACGACTTGGCGGCCAAACCCGAGGCTTCGGCAACCCAGCACCCACCAGCAGCTGCAGTTCTGGGGACCAGAGGATTCTAGTTCCAGGGCCGGTTCCTGTTAGGAAATTAGGCTTTGGGATCCACTCATCTCATCTCTATTCCCTGAAAAACTTTGCATCTTTCTCCAAATTGGAATTCATACCAAGAAAGAACTATCCCATCCCACCCCAGCGAGTCCATTCCCACTTCCAGCCTCCGAATGGCACCTACTCACGGCGCCCCCCAGCCCCGGGAAAGGGGGCGGGCTCAGGTGTGCGGGATCCCTAGGCTGGGTGGCGTGCGGGCTGGCGAGCGAGCTGTCACCTTGTGATCCGCCACGCCAAGGTATCCATCCAGGGGTCGCGGTACCGCGGGGACCCCGGGGCGCGATGAGGGGCTGCTCCTCGCCGACGGCTGCGCGCTGCCGGTCGCGGTTGCCTGATGCTGCTGCTGCTGCGGGGGCCGCTCCTTCTGGCCGCCGAGGCTGCTGTACACGAGCAACAAGCTGGTGCACATGGTGGTGAGCGCTAAACACACTGCCAGACCATGGCGCTGCGGGCGGGCGGGAGAGAACAGAGAAAAGCCGCTGAGGGCCGACCCCGGAGGAGCGCGCCCGGCGGGGACACCAGTGAGACGGTCACACGGGCGGGGGGCTCCGGGATGGATGGCCTGGGTCCTAGCCCCAGCCGCGCGCAGCCAGGGCAGAGGAGGCACAGTCCCCGCGCGTACGGCAGTGGATACTCCCGGCGCGTAGCTGCTCTCGGCCGACGCCACCTCCCAGATCTCTCGGCAGAGGGCAAGTGGTGCGTCGTCGCGCCCAGCCACCGGAGGGAGAGCGCGCCCAGGGGTGGGCTCGCACTTTGGGGAGGGGACCTTTTTTCTCAGCTGGAATCTCTAGCCGTTGCACCCTCTCCTTTCTGGACCCCTGGGGCTCTACCTCGGCAATCCTTGCAAGTTTGAAATCCGACAAGGACACCAAGAAAGTCTGCAAAGGTCCTCCCTCCCCGCCCCTCTTAGTTTTTGCCAGGGTGTTGCTTTGGGGCATCCCCCACCCCGAGCAAGGCGCCCACCCTTCCGCCGCTTCTCCAGCTCTCGGCTGGATGGCCCCTCGCCCCAGGAGCCGAGGCAACCCGAGTTCCCATCCTGGCTCTGGGATTCCGAGCCAGGCAGAACCGGGGACTCGGGAGGGGACGCGGAGCAGGTGGAAAGTTGTCCCTTTGTAACAGGCGACCTGGCGGCGCAGGGTTAGGAGCCCCTTGAGCTCTCGCCTGCACCCCGGGGGCGCTGCGCCCGGGGGTCCCCGCTCTGCCCAGAGGAGTTGCAACAAATGACTCACCATCAGGGTCTTCATTTTGGGCACCTCTTTTGTGCGGAATCCTCAGGCACACGCGTCCGGGGCCACTTTTTCTTGGAGGGTTTCCATGGCGGGCGAAGGGGCGGGGGCGGCTCTGATTTTCGCCCGGCTGCCAGCGGCGGCTGAGTGGGTCGGGGAGCCGCGGGACCCGGGAAGCGCCGCTGTTGCAGAGATTAGAGACAGAATTAAAACTGAGCCGGACCCTCGTAGTCTCTCAGTGATCTACACAACTGCCGCCTGCCGCCGCCTGCTGGGTCCTAAAGCTCTCTGCATCCCCGTCTCCCGCCCCCAAATAATCATCTTTGCTGCCGAGTGGAATTTCTGGGGCGAGAGAGTTAACCGTGCAGTATACTCACCTCTTGGTCCGAGGGCTTATTTATCTTTTATGAAGTCCTCAAGCAAAAAGGAAAGAGAACGCAACTGGATTCCGAACACAAGAGCCATTTGAAAATCTGCAAACTAAATTTTCTGTCTTGTAATTTTGATAAAAACTCATCAACAGTCCAAATGTCAAAGGCTCTGTTTATGGCATTTGCATTCATGTTCATGGCATGGGGAAATCAGTCGCGAAATAATTTTTTCAAGAAAGTTATTATTTCAGTTTTCCAGTTGTAAGCTTTCTAATATTCTCTTCCTCCTTCATTTTACTTTTTAAATCCAGTTATTCTCATGCAATCTTTGTATCATAATTTTGATTTAAATTATTTCGCTTACTACTTGTTTTAAATATTATAATTTATACTTCTATCTGAACTTTGAGGCTCCTAGTCTTCATCTAAATGATTTTAAAAACCTTAAGAACATTCAACACAACATATCCACATGTTTAACTGGACCTGTAGATTATTCCTAATTTAAATGAAAGATTTCAGGCTGCTGGAGATTAAACTGCTTACTGCTTGTTTTGTAAGAATCCTAAAGCTTTTGGTGCTCTCGTGGTGTTGGTCCACTGCACTGAGGGTACGTAATGTCACATTCAGAAGTTCAATTAAAATAAAAAAATAGTTATTGTTTTTTGTTGGGAAATTCACATCAATAGCCAGTTTTAAGGATACCCTCCCCCCTATGATGAATTACAAATGGCATTTGTTAAATGTCTAATTTGGTTAAAAAGACTTCTTGTGAAATTGCTTAGTGAGAATAGTTGTCTTAATGTATTACTTAACACCTCACCTGTAGCAGTGTAATGTTAAAGATTACATTAAGATGGAAATGATCAGCGGGCCAACTGAACCATGGGCACAATAAGAGCTTTCTCAAGGCCAAAAAAGGCATTACAATCCTTTTTTAATCTTCACTAATCCATTGCTAGATTGATGATACAACAGGAACTATTTTTAACTTCTGAGGCATCCTTCCATACTTAGTGTTAAGAAAGTTAAAATTATTGGTGCAACAGTGACTATCAATGCAATGTGTTTGGGGGAAGGCGAGAAACACACCGGATTTAGCCTTTCAAGGAAAAACAAAAAAATTCAAAACACTGTCCAACATTGCCAGCCTTGAAGCTATTTATTCAGTTTGTGCTTTAGGCATGAATAGTACCAGTTGTTAGGGCAGGAAGAGCAGCAGCCAGAGGAAAATCTTATCGGGTCTTGGCAATTCTTGATTGTATGCTTGCACTTGACACTCAATTTGGGGAAACAAAGGACCGGATTGATGAATCACTGCAAGCAGATGATCTGTGTTTCTCCAGGGCTCCTTCTGAGATGCTACTAGACAGACCGCCTACATTTTTTCAGAATGGTTCCCCTTCCATCTAGCAAGTTGCCCAGTGAGTGCTAAAACACTTCTAATATATTTTGCCATGCCAAACAGCCATTGCAGTTATGATTTAAGCTCGTGGCGGCACGGTGGACATCTGTTACGTGGTATGGCTGACCAAATTCATTAAACTTATGCTTTTTTCCCCTCCTGGGATAGCAGTTAGCTAGTTGCTAAATCAGCTTATGAGATGGCCAGGGTAAATCTAAAAATGTAATTCTGAACTTGATTTGAATAATTTCAAGATCTCCGGCTTTCAACTATTTGATTAGATTGAGGTGATGGTTTTAGGTCTGGGAGCCAAATGGACAAGATGGGGTGGGGGAAGGGCAGGTAAAACAAGTAACATAAGTTAAAATCCTTGTGCTGTTCAATTCAGTGATCATTTAATGATCACCGGCGATCTGGTGGTTCTATATTAGGGAACGCAGAGATGATAAGACATGGATCCTCTGCTCTAAGAGCTCACAACCTAGTGTGTGTATGCTTGCACACACGCATGTGAAGTGTGTGAGATAAGGCTGCAAGCAGGCTATAAAAGATAGAGCACTAGAGATTCAGCATCTATTTATCAAGTGCCTACCATGTTAATCGCCTACTCTGCTGAGCACCTACCATGTGCCAGACATTGGGGATATCTGGATGCATAGACCACAGGCTGCCCTGAAGGATTCAGTCTATTCCCAGATAAGTGCTATGAACCTTCATGCTACAAAGAACTAGGAAACAATCAAAATACTTGATTTGTTTCTCAACTTCTGCCTGCTTGCTTATTTAAGATCTTAGGGGTTTGATATTATAAGGTTATCCACCTATACTTAGGAAGCTTTATGCACACCTTAAGTTAATAGTTTGGATAGCCAGAAAGAGCAGAAAGTAGGCAGCCTTCGCAGAGACTTGATTGACTTAGAGACAAGTAGACAAGTCAATAAAGCTTTTTTAGTTCATCTAACTTGTCCAGTTCAATACAAAGTGAGTCGGGGAATCACAATTTGCTTTTCAAAATCCAGGTAGCTGAGATGGATTTCTCACCATTTAAAATTTTGCCACATTTCTGCCTCTGGTGCCATCACATCCAATCAAATAGATTTCTATTTTTGAAAAAGGAAAGGAAAGGAAAAGAAATTGAGTGTTCCACAATGTAGGTTATGTGAGAATTTATGAAACAAGGCATGTTACAGGCTGAGGAGGGCGGAGGTGGAATCCAAAGCTCAGGGGGCGTGCCACCTGTGCACACAGCCACCAAGGCACCACAAAGCCGCCGAAGGAGGCAGAGGGACAGGCTGCTGGAAACCCAGGGCCCTGCCTGTGATTCCTAAGTGACCTCCCAATTCAGAAAGAAATGTGTCCAACATTTCAAAGATGGATGAGAAGCAGACCATAAGATCATGTAAACTCCATCGGAGACACAACCACTTTCCACCTTGTGATCCTAAAGCAAAAGAGAAAAAAGTACTGCTAAATGCTACACAAGCAAAAAGCTTAATAATGGCAGAAAGTTCTAGAACAAATGTGATCCTTGTCCATTGTGTGTCCTTCTCCATTTGTGTTCCACGGTTTATTTAATTCTACTTCAGCGGCCATGTCTAGTGGGCTAGTCAGTTGAGAACAAGTTCCTGGAGTCAGGCTGCCAGGACCCAGCTTCTGACTCTCCCACTTACCAGCTCTGTGGCCTTGAGTAGGTTACTTAGCTGTACCTTTGTTTCCACATTTGTAAAATGGCAATCATGAGAGCACTTGCCTCAAAGTCTTGCTGTGAAGATTAAATGAGATACTACAAGTGAAGTGTCGAGAGGAGTACTGACAGATTGTTAACTATTATTAATAGTATTTTATGATTATGATTAATAAACTGGGTTTGAAGGTAAAAGGCCAAGGTTTGGCCTGTATGACCAAGAGCTGCATGACCTTGAGCAAGGGACTTAAAAAATATTAAGCAGACTCTTAATTTGTCTGTAAAATGGATATAAGGAAGCCCGTTCCACAAATTGTTAGGAGGCTTATTTCGATATTGTGTACGTGACTGCTTTGTAAACTGTGAAGTTCTGCACAAGCTACGGTAATAGTAACTCATTCATTCACTAAACAAATGTCAATGGAGCATTTACTATGTGCCAGGCTCTGTTCTAGGCCCTGGGGATGTGACCGAGACACACAAGGACTCTGCCCACGAGACTTATCTTCAAGCCAGGGCAACAAGCCAATATAACAGAATGTCAGGCACCAGGAAAAAAGCAGGGTGAAGCAGTTAGAGATCGGGTGGGGGCATATGTGCTGTTTTAACTAAGATGGTGACATCTGAGCAGAGATTTGAATAAAGTGAGAGAATGAGCCATGAGGCTGTCTGGAGGAAGGGTATTCCAGGCAAAGGGAACAGCATGTGCAAAGGCCGTTAGGTAAGAGCTTGACTGGTATGTTGAAGAGACAGCAGGGAGGTTGGTGTGGCTAGAGTGGAGGGAGGAAGCGGGAATGTGGTAAGGGAAGAGAGCAGAGAGGTAGTTCAGGACCAGCTCATCTAGGGCCTCAGAGGCCATGAAAACACCAGTGTGAGGGAAATTCATGGGAGGGTTTAAAGCAGAGGCAGCCATGGGTCCTCAATGTTTTGGGACAATCACCTGGCTGCTGGGCTGAGAACAGCTTTCGGGGGAGCAAGAGTGGAGGCAGGGAGGCCACTGAAGAAGCTATTACATTCTCAGGGGTGGAAGGAGGTCATAGTGCTGTTAAGAGAAGTGACTGGTTTCAGGATTTGCTGATTATTGGGTGTGACATATGAGAAGAAGAAAGGAGGCAGCTGGGAGAATGGAGCTGTTATTTCTGAGATGGGGAACGCTGTGGGGAAAGCAAGTTTGGGGGGCTGAGAATGGGCAATCTAAATTTAGATGTACTCAACATGAGATGTCCCGGGAAGTCAGAGTTCAGGCCTGTTGTTGGGCTTAGAGACATGAATTGGGCATCATGGTTCATGAAAGGATGGGGTCACCGTGGGATGAGCCCAGACACAGGAGAAAAGAGGTCACAGGCTCGAGCCTGGGAGTTCCAAATTTCAGATGCCAGGAATAGGAGGCATCATTATTACAATGATAATACAGAAAAACAATAAATGACTATCTGAACATGATTTGATTTAGGTGGTTGATTATTTTCATTTTGAATGGATTTTCCATTCCAGGGCAGTTAGTCATTTATGTCCTCAAAGCACTTTTCAAATTCTATTATTGTACCAAGTATATTCATTTATGTATTTATTGTTCATCCTTCCTTCTAGATCATAAATTTTCTAGAACTTGGACTATGTCCTATTACTGCTTGTATCCTCCAAGCCTGGCACA